GGTTCAGGTAAGTCCAACCCTATAAGCACATAGCAATTATTATTTGAAATGGACAACAACAACAACACATATTTCTGTACTGTTTTTATATTAATTTTTTAAGTATGATATGTTTTAATGTTATTTCTCTCAGCTTGTTTATACTATACTTTTATATTTATATAGCTATATATAAATATAAAAGTATAGAATATAGTATACTGTATATAGCTATTATGCTCTTCATAAACGTATTATATGTGACCCTGTAAAGTTTTTTTTTAAATACTGAGATATTGTTTTGATTTAGGTGACATACTTTAATGAGCTTGAGGTGATGATTCATCCTGAAGGAGTGCTCCCAGTGCTGACGTTTCTGCGAGACCACACCACTGCTCAGTTCAGAAACCTGATTGATCTGACAGCTGTCGATGTCCCAACACGGCAGAACCGCTTTGAGGTAACTGTGCTCTCTTCTTTAGTCACACACAAAAATGTGTCAGGATAGCAAAATCAAACTTGTTTTTGTAGGCTCTATATTTAGTGAGCCTGTCCCACATTGGACAAAAATGTGATGCATAAATGTTACATGTTTAATGTAATTCTTCACAGATTGTGTACAATCTGCTTTCCCTGCGCTACAACACCCGTATCCGTGTGAAAACATACACAGATGAGTTAACACCATTGGAATCTGCGTTTTCTGTCTACAAGGGTGCCAATTGGTATGAAAGAGAGGTAAGTGTGAAAGTGGAGGCCAAAATTTAAATCTTGTAATTTTTGAAAGACAAGTTAGCAGGTCAAGGTTTCCTTCTTGTCTCAAACTTGCAGCATATTTACTAAAAAGTAAAAAAAAAAAAACAGTTTGCAAACCTGGACTCAGACACACACAAAGTTTTTGCACATCATAAGAAATAAAGTATTGACTATACTAAGCTGTTCACAGAATTCTAAACTAGACTTTCATCTTGATTTGTTTCCTGTGGATATTTCAAAGTTGGCGTTGGGTTGTTTTCCTCTGTAGAACACAGCAGCACAGTCCTAATATAATTTTGGCTCAAGTCTGGTTGCATTTATTTCATGTGTTTTTTTTTTCCTCTCTTCCTTCAGTGCAATGTTTTGTGTAACTGGCTGCAACATGTTTGTCCACAAAAAGGTTGTTCATACTGACCACAGGTCTGTCATGGTGATCTATATGATTTAAAATAATAGTGGTGACAAGATCATCTTGGGTTTTCAAGTATTGAATGTGTTTGGTCATAAAAATTCCTTGGTCAAGTTCTCTTCGGTTCCTTATTTGGATTTTACGGCTTTCTTTTCTCATCAAACCTTTAAATGTGTTTTTGGGTTTTCTGAACATCTTCCATCCCTAAATCTGTGCACTGTGTGTGGGGCTGACAATGATCATGGACACATCTGTACATCCAAGTTATTTATTTTCTAGAGCAGGACGTGAGTGATCTATTTTAATCCTTTACTATATGTATATATGTATATTTATATATATAAGGAAGAAGACCATCATGTGACTTTTGTGGTTTGGTTTGACATGTTTCATAGATATGTAGCTAAAAGATTCTTCTCCTAAACTACCAGATGATCTGATATTTACATTTTCACAAACCCTAGCCAAAAAAGAAAAAGATACACATGGCTCGTGTGTGTTCATTTAGGTTTGGGACATGTTTGGCGTGTTCTTTGCGAACCACCCTGACTTGAGACGTATTCTGACAGACTATGGTTTTGAGGGACATCCATTCAGAAAAGACTTTCCATTAACAGGATATGTTGAGGTAAGTTCCACCAACCTTTTCTGTTTTTGCTACTAATATAATATTGTTCTGCCTCATAGTGTGTGATAATTTGTCAAGAGTACTTTATACAGTGTCACTGGTTGTAATTTAATAGACTTTCTTTAATGGTAATATTTTTCCTTGTATATTTTGACCCTTTACAAACAAATGCTCTAAAATAAATATAATCACTATATAAAATAAATTGCTCTCTTTACAGGTGCGTTATGATGATGAGTTGAAGCGTGTTGTGGCCGAGCCAGTGGAGCTGGCACAGGAGTTCAGGAAGTTCGATCTTAACACACCGTGGGAAATCTTCCCTGCCTACAGGGAGCCAAAAGAAGAAGCTCCCAAACTGGAGGCAGGCGACCAGTCCACTGAGAAGAAATAATATCCCCTTTGTGTTTAGTGTGTTTTTACATACACACAAACACACTTACATGAACAACAAACATGTTTGTGTTATTGTGTTGTTTGTCTTTGTTGGACTCAGCCTTGAATATTTATGTACATAAAATACTAATAAACTTCTCAGAACTAATGAGGCTGTCCTCATTTTGACCACCTTGCATAATAAAAGTAATTAGAAGTGTCAGATATCATATTATTCACCAGTAGAATTATATGGTACCTGATATATGTTTAAATTTCACATTAATACTAGATGTATACTATAGATCGTGTTCATACTTTGTTCCTTCGGGGCAAAGAAAATCCGCGTCAAGTGCCCAGTAGATGGCACTACAGTACAAACCGAAAACCTAAGGACAGACGAGTAAATCTTTAAAACGTGTTCTCGCTTTCTTTTTGAGCATATACAACAGATGAACGTTATTATAATCAGTCGTTTCCTCCTGCATCAGGAAAACGGTGCAGAATCTACAGTGCCCAATAGATGGTACTGTAGCACATACCAAACCTAAAGACTCCTACGTGGGGTTTTTGAAAAACAAAAAAACAAAAAACAAACAATTTTCTCTATTATACAGCATATGCTCAGGTCTGAACATATTCTGTATAATAGACTTTACTGTGAACTAGTTCCACGGGGTTTATTTTATCTCAATGCAAATAATTTTATGCCACAAGTTTCTTGTAATCAGATGAATTGTCTGATTATAAGAATCTTTTTGTGAACTACAGCGTCCAGAATAGCTGTGATTTGTTAGACTAACTAGAAAATGCTTGACTGTTTGGTTTTTCTTTTCTGCGTGACAAAGAAGCCGTCCAGAATATACAGTGTCATTTGTTTTATTTTGTCAAACAATTTCTTTAAATCAAATGTTTTACATGTAACACAAGTAAGACACAAGTCAGAAAGTACCGAAACGGGTGTTTTGTATTTCTTTGAATAACCATAATCATTCTTTTTTATGTGAGTTGTAGATCTCAGTAAACTCACCATCATGGTCATTGAAATCAATACATAAGCACAGATCAGAAACATTGAACATACGGTCAGTTACTGCACAGATTATTCACTTCTCCATAAAAATACACACTTATCAGGCATCAGTCTGGCCTGTGAAGGATCTTTTTTTTTAAACTAAAATGTACTTCAGATACATGCATGCATCACACAAGTTCTTTCGAGGTTGGAAAAATTCCTTTTCTCTAAGGTTCCCCACTAATTTGCTCTTCTTTCATTGTCTAATAATGGAAGCCACTTTTACAATTGGATTTTTCTCCTGTCTGATGGAGGATATCCATTATTGAAATCACACTGGTGGTGGAAGTGATAATATCAGAAATGAAGTAATATTAAGAGATTTAATCTTATAATTTCTAATCCTGGCTTTACCAGATTGATCATGTGTTACGTTTTAGGAATCACTGCAACCATTATAAGGACACACCTTATTCTGTGAAGGGATAAGTGACACCTGACTTCACTGTTTTATTGTTCTACATTTTCAGATTAATCCTCTTAATTAATTACCATTTTTGTGGAAGGTACATTCAATAGTAAAAACCCATTAATACAAGCGACTGACACTTTCAATCATGCAAATTCAGAAAAGCTGAAATAAAAACAAATATTAACATTTGTTTTGCACATTTACAGAGGTATGCAGTATGTGTTCTGGTGCTGAGTGTTGTCCCCTCTCCCCCCTCCAGTAAATCTGTCACCAGGGTTTTTCTTACATTCTTTCTAGCTCGAGCTTTCTGACACAGAAGGAAAGGTGAATGGTAGAATTTAGCAGCACAGTTGACTGCACATTAAACCCAAATCACATTCACCTTCACTCTGTATCCTGCAGAATCTTCCCTTTAAATTTCACCTCCTCTGTCACCTCATTTACTCTTCTGCCACACTGACGTGTCTTTTCTTGTACTCTTGACAGGTTGATGCCACTTAAATTTTTGTCTTGCAACTTTGCTGACAGTGACTGTCTTAGGAACATTTCACTTTTTCTGTTTTAAGTCAGCACCAGCATCACTGGAAGCCTAAATCTAGTCTAAAATGTACAGCTAAATGCTAATATGGTGAATACTGTGGATATGTTTTGTCTTGTCAACTTCTAAAGATTAGTTTTATAATATCCTAGTGAATGTGATGTATTGATACCTGCATTATTAGTTTGATGTCAGTAGCAACATGGTGATAAATACTCCTGAAGTACAATACAATACAATACAAATAAGTCTCTTCAAGACCAGCTCTAATGGTGTGTTGACGTCATAGACACGCTGGTGTTTTACATCATCCAGAAAGTCAAAGTCAATGCAAAGTTGGCGTAGCACGTGGACTATATGGTGACATTGAAATGTTCATGAATCGTGTAAAACTGCGGTGCAGTGTTTGTTAGAAATGTTTTAATCTTTGCAGAAATTGCACTAAAGTAATAATGTGTTGGCTAACAGAGTCAATTGTTTTCCATTATTCCTGGCAATGCCACTGACTTTACAACATTTCCTGTGTTAAGTTGATGTTTGTTGTCATTTCAAACCCTGTGACTGAGCAGAGAAACCACTAGCATTAGCCTCTGTTGCCATCTTCAGTTGGATTTCTGCTAGCAGACGTGGCATGTGGTTAGTGTGTAGTTTTATAAAATGGCATTCTGCATGAGCACACACTAACATCTATGTTCATGTAATGTCACTTTTGGATTCTGCATGGCTGCATGTTCTTTAAAGATGATTTCACTTCAGAGACCACATTACTGTTTACTCCACTAAAATGCAAACTCTTTGTATTATCTTTGTAAATAACAGCTAGCAACAAGCTGAGCACATTGACTGGCTTTTTGTGCTAAGGTCAGATTAGGAATTAGGTTGACATTCATACATTCTTAACCTAAGTCATTAGCCTAAATCCAGGTCATTCTGAAGCAAAAGGCGATCCAAGTATCCTTTTTTCATTTCAACCAAAAATGTCATAATGTTCATAGCAATTTCCACAACATCATGTTTCTCATGGCAGTGTGAAATTAAACCTGCATGCATTCTACAGTAGCCTGGGAGACGCAATTCAATTTCCCCCACAGTGCACACCATCTGAAAAAATTAAATAATCGCTGCTTGAATTACAAATCAAATTACGTTACAGATCCCTGCAGGCTCAGAGGCGACATGTGGTCAAAAGTTGCACTGGAAAATTGTCTGCAGTTTTCAAGAGCCAAGTGAGTTTGTTCCTGTTGTCCTCTGCTCCTGCAGAGGTCAGGTATAAAAATGATAAGACTTCAAAATGAAGAAAACAAGACTCATTTTGACACAAAACACACTGTTGGTCTCGTTTTCACATGCCTCCAGAGACACCGACATGGTTCAGAGACTGTTTGTACTCAGAAGTAGAAACACTGTTGAAGCTTAAAGGAATGTTTCAATGGAAAAGGAAATTCTTATCATCTTCTCAGCTTGGTGGTGTTTTTTTTTAGTGCGACAAAGTGTTTATGTAGTGTTTATAATCAAACTCACACTCAGACTTTGTCTCACATTCTTTCAATAGACGCCATTTTTGACTCACAGGAAAATGTTCCTGGTGCATTTCTCGGTCACAGAGACCCATGAGGTTTGGTTTAACACAGAGCTGAGCCGGTGACGGCTGTTTTCATTAAACTGTGAAATATTCAATAAGGGTTCACAATGATATCATTCCAGGTTTCGCATTCCACAGAGGAGTAATATCCTGACAAACTATACAGTGAAGTTAAAATAGAATCTCTGAGCTCATCACAGGTGTTTTGTGACTTTGTGAAGGGACTCGTATGAAGTGGACTGATCACTGTCCGCCATTTACAGGATGAAGAGACTGTTCATCGTTTATGAATTCGTACCACAATGTTCAGTTTGTAGTGTTTATGCTAAAGCTAGGGTTTTTTGTGTTCATATGATTGGCTGTTGCTTGTGGGGAAGTCTGGGTAAACCAGGAAGCCAGTGAAGGTGATATACTTGGCGTGGTTGCTGTAGGCTCCAAATCCATCTTTCTGGTGTGAGTAGAGCCAGACCGTATCTCCTGGCTTCAGTGACAACATCAGACTCTGACTCTGAAGAGCTTTCTCTCCTTGGCTGTCGTCATAGATCATGGCCTGCACCTCCAAACGATTCTTCATCAACTTGACAGACAGCGTCTTCTGAGGCAGCTTACCCACGTTGAAGGAGAAGTAATATGCACCAGGAATGCGGCAAGTAAACATCCCCTCTGTCATGTTAAAGTCCTCTCCAATGTTGACGAACCCCGTGTCGAAACTCACGGGCTGGTGCTGAGGCAAGCCCTCCTGATCGACTCCCAGGATGCTCTCTGTGCGTCCGACAGAGAAAGCCGATCTCTGGTCTTCCTCTTCATCTTCCTTCTCCTCATCTTCCTCCTCCTCCTGCCTTTGTTGCAGATTCACATCCTGTGATGCACCGTGTGATTCAGTTTTGTCTTCGTCCGTTGCCTTTTTACTGTTGAGCAGTTGTACGTTGTTGCTCTGGGGCTGCTGGGAGTTGTAGGGGGGTTGATGCTGGTGGTGGTGCGTCTGGTAATCGTACACGTCTGGGTAGATCAGGTAACCGTTGAAGGTAGTGTAGTGTCCAGTGTTGCTGTAGAGGGCGTAGCGAGGGTCACCGTGGAGACGGAGCCAGACAGTGTCACCAAACTCCAGCTGCAGCATGACACTCTGACTCTGCATCTGTAGACAGAGGCAGACTTTAGTCTTTTTGGTGCGTGTCATTTATTTATTGCTGACTTAGCAATTCAAGTTGATATGAAGTTGATTTTATCTATATATCTTTAAAATGTCTTTAATCCACCGAACAACAAGCACAATTTTTTAAAACTTTTTTACTGGAAGGCGATTTTCTTTGCCAACTATGCTTATTCAGATCAAATCACAATTTGTTTAGCATTTATTTTAGGCAGCCTCTGGACACTTACAAAGGCTCTGATGGGTTAAAGTTACTTTTCAAGACAATGATAATCATAGTAATGTATTGCAGTACCATTCCCTAAACACTGAGCATGTAAGCCAAGAAAATCCGTTTGAGAAACCATGAATAATGTAACTGATAATTAAATCTTTATGCAGGCAGTTAAACAGCATCACTCTGGCCGTCACCTGATCTCTATCAGAGGCCCAACCTTCATTTAACTTTCTGACAATAATCTCCGTATTGTAGATGATCTGTCTCCACCTACCTTTCTCTCCTCACCAGCATTCTCCTCATAGACAATGGCCTGCACCTCGTTTCTGTTCTTCATCAGCATCACAGAAAGGTCTTTGTGTGGGAACTTCCCAACAGTGAAGGAGAAGTAATAAGCCCCAGGGATGCGACAGTGGAACGTGCCAGCCTTTGGGTCAAAGTCCCCACCAATGTTGACATAAGTCATATCAAAGGTCACCGTCATCTTGGGTCCACCTTCCATGCTGCTGGTGCGAGCCACGGAGAAAGCAGAGCGTAGCTCCACATCCTCCATGAGACGGGCAAAACCCCGCACATCAGCCACCTGACTGAGGCATAGCAGGCCAATCAGCAGGCTTACTGGTTGTAACATTGTATCTGTAGGTCATAGAAAGCATGAAGTTTAGTTTTAATTTCTAACATTATACCACAGAGAAGAAAACAGAAAACAAAAATGGTGTTTTTGTACAAATGAGAACACCTGTCTACTCATGCACTTTTTGTTTGTAGATAGGCCTATTCTCCCGACAAATTCCATTGAACTTAATAAGATTACTACAATACAGCTCTTTCCATTGAGCAAGGGAAATAAAATTACACATTAGTGCTGTTTTTCCTCCCACTGCAATTACTTTGTGAACCAATTGGCGTCCTGACCCTCACTTTGAGAACCACTAATGTAACTGAAGCAAAATATGAAATCCCCCATTTGAATTCACACGGCTAATGAGACATAGAATAACAACAACCTAACAGCAGCACAGAGCAATCACATTATCACTGAAACCATCCATCGGCTGAGGCTACAAGTGGCCACAGCAGGCCGTGCTGCACTGCAGTGTATGTCACAATGATGAGTCAGGGCTTTACAACTTGCTATGAGCCTCAAGGACACATGGGAAACTGTGTTATGCAGAGTGACATTAACATGCATGTGCGACCATGTCTACAGGCTAATAGTGATATGGCTTTGCTGTGTAAAAGTTAATGTCTAATTAGGAGATACGGATGCTTTACAGACGGATTGTTCTGTTTACCTCGAAACACCTGCCACAGTTCATTTGTGAGTCAATGTTGTCTGAGCATCTCAGCATGTAGTACCACACTGACTGATGCAATGATGCTGTGACCATGTTTCTGTGGAAATCAGCCCATCTGTGCAGGACACCTCGTCCTCTGTCTCAGAAGACAGCTCTTAATGAGGTCGGTGTCTCATTGCCCTAAGATGTTGGGAGGTAATGAGGAAATGAGTATCCGGAAGGAGAAAGTTCCTGAAACCTTAGTTTGGCATTGTCTGTCAGCATCATAATATTGTTTATTGACTAATGTGATAACACATTTGTGTTGAATTAAACAATTTCCCCTCAACTTCTGCGTAGACCTTGAAGGTATTTACCTTTTTTTAGCTGGTACAGCTGAATGTTTTGGTGTGTTTATAGTAAATGGAGCTCTTTACTACATGGAATCTAATTAGTTTTTTTTAGTCGTTCTTAAGTCACTGAGGTGTAACTGATTGTTTTTGTCTAATTGTGCACTTTCTCTATATGACATTATTTTTTGCTTACTTCCTAATTATGAAATGCAAATGAACAATGTTTTTACTGGAATGCCAACATGTTTAGTGAAAAACCTCAAGAGCAGCAGTTTTAACCAAAATGTTGCTCCACTGTGGCCTTACAGAGTTGATGCTTCCTATTCAAACAACAAGGAAAGTACGGATCAAACAGGCATCCTTCCTAATGAGCACGCATGGGAATTTAGCACAACGAGGAACAATAGAACCGAGGATGGAGAGGAGAAAAGAGACAATGAGAGGAGGAGAGAGGATGTAGGGGAAAAGAGAGGGAACAATAGAGAGAGGTGGGAGAGAAAAAAAGACTTTGACGATAAAGTGTATATAGTTAATTGTGTCTGTGTTTTACTCAGTCACTGCTGCAATCATCTGTTGTTGCCCTTTGTAGCCCCGGCAGTCAAATCACAAATGAGCTAATGAGTGCAGTGAACAAGTCCAACTGCCAGTCTGGTCCAGGGAGTTCCAGCATAAAGTGGAACTGCAGATTATTCACAGACATTTTAGATTTAATCTCAAACCCAGTTCAGTGTGTTTTTCTAAGAGGAAGTTCAGAAAAGAAAATGAACAAAACAAACTACAGGAATAAGTTCAGGTGTAACCATTTAAAGATTTAACTCAAGTCATTATTGCAGCATGTTTTCATGCTTTGCCAAACACATCCTTCCACCTTGTATTGACACTTCTGGTTGAAGTGATTACAGAATGTTAAGTCTGTACAGGATGAAAAGAGGATCATCTTTTAAATAAATAATCAACAACCACCCGTAGGAGTGGAGACAAGACGCGTCCTGAGACATGTGACTGTTACAGCCATCAGCAGGTTTAAGACTAAGACCAAAATGTCAAATTCAAAAACAGGTATAAAGTATAAAACACACCATGTTTTCTTTGAATCAGTGTTTCATCTACAGCACTGTAACTGCATCCTCACACCAGCAGCTTTGTTCACTACAAATGAAGCACCAAACTGTGGTGTGTGCGGCATTTGTGCTTCTACTTTCATGTTATGGCTCTGTGTGAGACAGAGAAGAGAAGGGAAGATTTCCAGTCCCAAGAGACAGATCAGTCAGTGGTCATTGGAAAAAGGACAGGAAGAGTGAAGGTGTTTGAGAGGAAGAGAGTGGATATGGGCACTTTTCTGTTTCTCTGCTATGTAACTAGATAATTTGATGTGTGTGTTTGTGTGTGCGGGCCTACATGTTTCCGTGTTACTGAGTAGTCACACGTCTATGAATGTCATTATTGTTGTATTTGTGAACATGCATAGGTGACTATATGTCACATGTGGTTACATGTTGATCCAAGGTGTGTGTTCTGCACAGCTAGCTTAGTCTGTCTGTCTGTAACACATTTCAAATAAGGGTGCGCGTGCTGTTTTGTGTGGAGTCAGGTTTTTGTTTGTAGAACAGCGTAAACACAAGTCATTTTGTCAATATTTATCTGCTGGTGGAACTGACCGAGCACCACAGAACAGAGGAGTTCTGTCTTCAGCCTATCTTCAGGAACACCCGGCTCCTCAGAGAGGACCTCTTCAGTTTTTCTCTTGATTTAACTCTCGGTTCATTGTGACCACCACAGGTTTTCAGAAAATATTCCTAGTATAAAAAAAGATGGCTCTAGAGGCACCTTTTAATCTCTTGCATTATTTATTATTTTTTCTTAAGATTGCTGCTGCATGCCTTTATATGAAACTGTTTTTCTAATACTTAATGGTGAAGAAGCAGCGAGAACTTCTCCTCTGTGCAGCGCCATCTGTTCAGGGAGATAACAAACGTTAGCCTTGAGACTTGATGCAGAAAAACTGCTTTCTGTATCCTAACAGCTGGTACAGGATGACTACTTTAAATAACCTCTAAGTCTGCTTTGGGAATCCTCTAATGTGTTTCCATCTTTCCTGCTGTTGCGTGGTCGATCACTTGGACGTTTCTGCCGTACCATGACCAACTGCAGTCAAGTTTGTCTTCCAGCTGTTACGATTCAACTTAAAGAAAACAACAAGAGATACAGTACTGTATACAGACTGCAGAGTTTTGTCAGTTGAATCTCTTGCAGAAGCAGAGGCTACTTGTTTGAATATCTAGGTACCAGCTGTTACTCACACAGTACACTCAGTATAATGAAGTAAACGGCCATTCATAGTGATATGTTTTACATCTGTTACGAAGTTTATTCGATAGATAGATGGAGGTTTCGTGCGAACTAAGATAAACGACATGTAAAAGTTATGCATAAAGGCAAAAATGCTAAAATGCTTTTATCATTTTCTATACCATCTATTGGGGAAACGTGGGTATTGCAGGGAAAAGGCAGAAGTATATTGATAATATAAACAAATTATATAATTTGGAATGGTTTGGTGGGCCGGATTAAAAAGCTGAACGGGCCGCATCCGGCCCCCGGGCCTTAGTTTGCCCATGCCTGGGTTAAAGGCTATACAGAGAACGATTGTTCTGTGTGAAGTGGACAGAAGTACAGCCATTACTGCTGCTCCCTGCTTCCTCCACACTTTAACCAGTGCCATTAAATGTGACTATTACAACATCATAAATTAAATAATTTTTTGAAATCATTGTTTAAAAAAAGATTTTTAAACTTTTCAATGTGATTGATAAATCACTGTTTCTGCTCTACTTTTATGTCTAAAATAAAGGACACAAGGCTCGTCTTTATCCACGCTGGGAAGATGTTTTGATTTCTCTCAACAAAGGTGCATTGTGTTGCTCCAGCCAAGGGCAGGCTCTGTGTCCACAACAATAGAAGAGGGCATCTGAGTAAAGAGCTCTTTTGGGCATGACATCTGAAAACAGGTTTAAAAACATGTGTAGAAAGAAAACAAAACTGTGGATGTAAAGCACTCAGTCTGATCCAAAAAAAAAAAAAAAAGACCAATCAGTGCCTTTGTTGTTTTGACATTTGCGCACGGTGACATACTGAATAACAGAGGAAATTATTTCCCTTTCTAATAGTTTTTTCCATCACTGCGGATATAAAGGCATGGAGTCTTTTGTTGTGTTCGCGTTTTCCTCCTCAGAATCTCTGTTGTTACAGCAGGGCTGGAGCCGACTGTGCAGCTGGGCCCAAGTATTGATTTTCATCTTGCTCCTACATCTTAAAGAATGTAGAACCTGTTACAGCAGAGCTCTGCCAGAACAATGATGTGAAAAAAGGTTGCACACACTGTAGCACTGAACCATTGTGAAGCAATATATTGAGTTTGAGCTCTGTAGGGACCCGGTTCCTTCTCACTGCTCTCACAGCATCATAGGCTGTACCTGCTCTGTGGGGAGCAGCAGACAGACCCAGATAGAGAGCAGCTGCTGAGAATCCTGCAGCATTTAGCAGCTAATGAACTAAAGGTGTCTCTCAGAAATTGTACCAGAAGACCAGAAGATGAGATAAAAATAGAGAGGACACTGGTGGATTGAATAACAAATAAAACTCAATTACACATTACATTATTATTATTTACCCAGAAGGTCCTACACAACTACTTGTAGGTTTAAGTTCAAATAAAAACCATTTCCCTTTTTAATATGCTTGTTATATTTTTAGGGGTAATTTATATTACAATATTAGAACCAGTTGTGATGTCATGTGTGATGCCAGGTTTTCATTTGATTCATGTGTTTTTGAAAAGAAAAATACAGCTTAAACTCAATTAATAAACTGCTTTGTAAACGTTTAATTACCCAACAAAAGTCGTTGCTCTGTAGATATCAGCAGTGAACTCACCGTCTTTCTAAAGCCGCTGCAGTCAGCTCTATTGTGAGACATTGCAGTTCATTTTTTTCTCTGACCAAGGTCT